CAAGTAGCAAAAAGCTAAGTGGCTAAGCAAAAAAATTATGTTGCAAAATTAATTACAAAGCCAAGTGGCTAAGATATTAAAGTTAAATAGTAAATTTATATGGCAAAATTTGATAGGGCCAAGTAATAAAAAGTTAAGTGGCGAAGCCAGTAAAGCTAGGTTGCAAAATTGACTTACAAAGCCAAGTGGCGGAGTTATCAAAGTCAAGTAACAAAATTATATGGCAAAATTTGATAAGTCCAAGTAAGTGGCAAAGCTAGCTAAGATTAATTGCAAAATCAAAGAAAAAATAGTTAGTATGAATATTTTACTTGAAGAAAATAGTCAAACATTCATTTGACAATTTCACATTCCGCAGCTTTTCGCAGTAATATTTTTATTGTTAATAAACGATTTTTAATCGTTAATTTGAAATGATTAAATTTATCGTCCAAATGAACGATAAGAAAATCATTTGATTAGAATGATTAAATTATCGTTACAAATGAACAATAAAAGAATGGTTCATTTAGAATGATTGAATTATTGTTCTAAACAAATGATAAAAAAATCGTTCAATTAAAACGATTTAATTATCGTTCCAAACGAACAATAAAAATTATTCAATTAGAACGATTAAATCATCATTCTAAATGAATGATAAGAATATCGTTCAATTGAAACAATTAAATTATCATTCCAAAAGAATGATAAAAAATCGTTCAATTAGAACGATTAAATTATTGTTCTAAACGAACGATAAAGAATATTTCATTTGAAATGATTGAATTATCATTCTAAATGAACAATAAAAAAATCATTCATTTGAAAAGATTAAATTATCATTCTAAATGAACAATAAGAATATCGTTCTATTGGAATAATTAAATTATCATTCCAAACGAATGATAAAAGAATGGTTTATTTAGAATAATTGAATTATCATTCTAAATGAACGATAAAAAAATTGTTTGATTAGAACGATTTAATTATCGTTTTAAATGAATGATAAAAAATCATTCAATTAGAACGATTAAATCATTATTTTAAACGAATGATAAGAATATCGTTCAATTGAAATGATTAAATTATCGTTTCAAACAAACAATAAAAAAATATTTCATTTAAAACAATTGAATTATTGTTCTAAACGAACAATAAAAAAATCATTCATTTGAAATGATTAAATCATTATCTAAATAAATGATAAGAATATCATTCGATTAGAATGATTAAATTATCATTCCAAAAAAATGATTTAATTATCGTTCCAAATGAACGATAAAAGAATCGTTCATTTGGAATGATTGAATTATCATTCTAAAAGAATGATAAAAGAATCGTTCGATTAGAATGATTTAATTATCATTTCAAAAGAACAATAAAAAATCGTTCAATTGGAATGATTAAATTATCATTCCAAACAAATGATAAAAGAATCATTCATTTGGAATGATTGAATTATCATTCTAAACAAATGATAAAAGAATCATTCATTTAGAACGATTAAATTATTGTTCTAAATGAACAATAAGAATATCGTTCAATTGGAACGATTAAATTATCATTTCAAAAGAATGATAAAAAATTGTTCAATTAGAATGATTTAATTATTGTTCTAAACGAATGATAAAAGAATCATTCATTTGGAATGATTGAATTATCATTCCAAAAGAATGATAAAAGAATTGTTCATTTAGAATGATTAAATTATCATTTCAAACGAACGATAAAAGAATTATTTATTTAGAATGATTAAATTATCATTCTAAATGAACAATAAAAGAATCATTCAATTAGAACGATTAAATTATCGTTTCAAACAAATAATAAAAAATCATTCAATTAGAATGACAAAATTATCATTCCAAACGAATGATAAAAAATTGTTCATTTTAAATGATTGAAGTTATCATTCATTTGGAATGATTCGAAATTTTGGATTAATCTGAAATTTTCAGTTCAGTTCAGATTTTTTTCAGTTCAGATTAGATTTATAATCCGAAAAAAATCCAAACTGAACCGAAAATTTTCGGATTAAATTTTTTGCAATCTGAAACTGAACTGAAGTTGATCTGAACTGAAAATTTTTGAATTAATCTAAACCATTTAGAGCTTTATTATAAATAGTACTCAGGCAAGCACAATAAGAAAAATTTGTCTTTTGCTAATATTTGATATAAACTGGATTTGTTACTCAAGATAAAATGTAAAATAATAAAAAAAAATTATATTTAATACATTAAAAATTATAAGATTTTTACAACAAAATTAATATACTTTTATCAAAGAAATTCTATGTTTTTTATACTAAAAATAAAAGAATTAATAGATTTGTTATGATTTATAAAATTGGTACTTGTTTGCTACTATTATTATAAATAGTACCCAGGCAGCATAATGAGGACGTCAGTATCTTAACAATCCAAAAAAAAATTTGAATCTCCAATTGATATTTGATATGAACTAGGCCTTACTACTCAAAATAAATGTATGGACTTAAAGTATTTAGAGTTCCGTTTCTCAAGACAAAAAAGAAAAATAATTTAAAAAAAATGTATATTGAGAATTAAAAAAATAAAAAAAAAAGCAAAAAAAGCAAAAAAAATTGTATATTATATAAAATAAAAATAAAAAATAAATAAAAAAAATTTCTAATAAAAAGAGAATAGAATAATTAATAAATATAAATAAAAATATATAAAATTATTAAAAATATTTGTATTTACAATTTTCTGAAACTTCTTCTACCAAAAAGAAAATAAAGTTATTACTAAACATAGATTTGTTAAAATGTTTAAACTTTTAAAGAAAATTTGTATTTACCAATTTGAGCCAATGGTTCTACGACTTGAGCTAAAAAAAAATAAGTTATTACTAAACATAAATTTGTAAAAAAAATCAAAACTTTAAAAAATATTGTATTTACCAATTTGAGCTGATAACTCAAATACTTAAGCTAAAAAAAATGAATTATTACTAAGCATAAATTTATCAAAAAATCAAAACTTTAAAAAATGTTTGTATTTACAATTTGAAGCAAATCGCTTCTCTGAAAAGAAAATAAAGTTATTACTAAGTATAAATTTATCAAAATATTAACCCTTTTAAAGAAAATATGTATTTACCATTTTTTACATTAGAAGCCTTTGTTCGCTTCTTTCCTATAAAAGAAAAAAAAATTAGCAATCCAAAAAAAAATATATATAATTAAACTTTAATAACAAGTATATTATCATATTACCTTTAGAATATCTCTACTCTCAAACCCGTTTATTTGTTTGGAATTCAATATTGTATTTATCACTTAAAAAATATATATATAAAATATTTTAAAAATATATTGTAAAAATTAAAAATTTTATTAAAATATAAATATAAAATT